TGAGGCAGGAGAATCACTTAAGCCCAGTAGTAGTTGCTGTGAGCTGTGATGCTGTGGCACTCTACCCAAGGCGACAGCTTGAGACTCTCTCTCTCAAAAAAAAAACCAAAAAGGCGATTATCTTTTGTGACAACCTAGATGGAAGTGAAAGCCATTCTTCCAAGTAAAACATCACAAGAATGGAGAACATGTATTTAATACCAAATTGAAACTAACTGATCAACACTTGACTGCACATACATGAGTAAATGTCAATCAAACTCAAGCAAATCAAGGGGGGGGGCGGTAAATTCACACCTATGAATGAATAGTACATACTCTTTAGGTAAAGGGTACACTTATTATTTTGACTCAATTTGTACAAAAACAAAACACATATACCCCTTAATATTCTGAAATGGAATTTAAAAAAAAAGTGAGCTAGAATTCACAAGTATTACAGAACACAGAAATTTCTGTAAAAATAATCTGTAACAGAGGCTTGCCTTATGTAATGTTTTCATAATGCTTTTCCAGAAAAATTAAAGGAATGTTATAATCATTTAATCCATTCACAATATAAACTAAATGTAAGGTGGGCAAATGAAGAAAAGAATCCTCCACATTAAAGATCTGAAATAAATCTGAAGTTATCTATAGATTTACATATACAATGAAAAAATCAGCAAACAGAAATGATTACTACAACCTGACCAGGAGGGTTATAGCTGAAATCCATTATACCACTATACCATTCTAAGTCCTATAGAATGGTAAATTTAAACCTTATTTAGGATTCAAAACCAAAACCACCTTGAACATTTTTTCCTAGAAAAGTGCACAAAAATTCTCTATTCTCTAAAGCTCTCATGCATATACACAGACATTGAATTCACAGAAATTTTTACATTCTGCTATTAACCTAGTCATACATCATGGGTTTGTTACTAGCTCACACACTGCATTATCTCCCCCAACAAACTTTAATATCAAAGAATATACTTCTGTCCTGTTCACTGAGCATTAAGTGTTTTCATCTTTTTCTCATGTTCTTTTTTTTTTCTTGAGACAGAATTTCACTATGTCACCCTTGGTAGAGTGCTGTAGCATCACAGCTCACAGCAACCTCCAACTTTTGGGCTTAAGCAATTCTCTTGCCTGAGCCTTCCAAGTAGCTGGGACTACAGGCGCCCATCACAATGCAGAGCTATTTTTTTAGAGACAAGGTCTAAAAGTCTCCCCCTTGCTCAGGCTGGTCTCCAACTTCTGACCTCAGGCAATCCACCCGCCTTGGCCTCCCACAGTGCTGGGATTAAGGAGTGAAACACAGGGCAAAACGTTTTTGTTTGTTTTTTGGGTTTTTTTTTTTTGAGACAGGAGTCTCACTATGTAGCCCTATGTGGCTCTCAGTAGAGTGCAGTGACATCACAGCTCACAGCAACCTCAAACTCTTGGGCTTAAGCAATTCTCTTGCCTCAGCCTCCCTTGTAGCTAGGACTACAGGTGCACAACGCAATGCCTGGCTATTTTTTGGTTTGTTGTTTCTAGCAGGCTCGGGCGGTTCGAACCCAGCCCCAGTGCATGTGGCCGGTGCTCTAACCACTGAGATACTGGCACCAAGCCCAGCCAAGCATTTTTATCTTAACTAAAGAATGATGTATCCACCTACAAAATTTCAGGGAAGAGAGAAAGGTCAAGTATCTTTAAAAACCCATAACATAAATCCTAAATTATGAATCCTGCTCTAAAGAGAGGGGATAAACATTGCACTTTCTTTTTTTTTTTTTTTTTTAAGAGGTAGATTTATTTATTTGTTTTTGTCGTTGTTGTTGCAGTTTTTGGCCGAGGCCATGTTTGAACCCACCACCTCTGGTATATGGGGCCGGCACCCTACTCCTTGAGCCATAGGCACCACCCAACATTGCCCTTTCTTAACTGACACTGTCGTAAAGACTAGTAATGAAATAATCCCAACCCATACTGGCAGAGAAACATCACACCCAGTCAGATCTTGCCTTAAAACTCAAAAGAAACTCAAAGAGAAATGAAAACAGTCTAAACAGAAACAAACGAGAAGAGGTGATGGTTGTACAACACTGTGAATGTACTAAATGCCACTGAACTTTTCACTCTAAAGTAGCTAATTTTATGTTACATGAACTTCACCTGAAAAACTTACTTTTTTTTTAAAAGAGAGACATTTAATCATGTGTCAGATAAGAACATAAGTAGATTCTCCAAAGTACAGGATGGCAAAAAAATTATGTCTGCATCAGAAGCCACAAAAAAAATAGACAAGATGGCGCTCAAGAAAAAAATCCAGTATTTGTCCAAATGCTTCGAAAATCAATCTCCTCCTAGAATAAAGAAAGGTTCCTTAAGGAGAGCCCCAGAAGCAAACAAAGCTATGACGGAATCCAAACTTACACTACCTTTCTACCAGACCAAACTAGTCCACTCACTGGCTGTTTTGAAGATTTATAGCATGGCCTAAGGACACTGTTAAATAACAGAGCTGCCACAAAGCACATAATCACCCTTACTTGTCCCAGACCCCAGTGTGATGTCACTGCACCTTAGAGAAGGCCTCCCTGCACAAGAGTATATATCCAGATTTAACATAACCTAGTTTCTACCAAATATAGGTTGTGGAAGTCCCTCCTCTCCTGTTCCTCCTCTCTCCAGTTCCCCAAGACATACTGAGCAGCAAAAGAAGATTAAGAGCTGGGTAGAATAAGGTCAGAAAAAAATTAATAGAGGCTTCATTTCAAATGGCTCTCTGAGAAATAGCAACTAAATTGAGTTGATGAGGCCACAAAGTCCTTTTTTCCCCAGAGTTGGGCTGTATACAGTTCAGTGCTCATAATGAAAAAGTGGTCAAGTTAACCAAATTATAAAGCAGAAAGGTCATTCCACCAACCTTTTATTACAACGGTGAGAAGTGCTAAGTTCATTGCTAATCAAATATTCAATAATAATGCAAAGACAATAGCATCTTCAGGTATCATTTAGCACACAGGAAGTTATGAGGCACTTAAAAGCTAAAATCACCTGTGATTTCTATTTAAACATGGCAGACTACAAAGTAATTTGTTAATATTATACAGAAAGAAAGACGCTCAAAGCTTTTACCTCCAATTTTCAACTAAATATCAATAAACTCTGGAAAACTTAAGCCTGGACAGAAAGAAGAAAAAGAAAAAGGAGATTGCATCCTATCTAATACATTCCTTGTTTGGATTGGTTCAAACTCATATCTAACACTTAATATTTCTAAAACATGGACCTTGTTAAGGAAAAAAAGGATGAAAGAACTGGTCTCCCTTGAGTCTCTTAATACAGATTCATAATTTTGGATTTTTATTCACTTTGCCATCCAACTTTTAGTGACGCTGTTTGAAAGACTATCCTTTCTGCTTCCTTGGGAGCTTCAACTGTTTTTGATACCTGCAAACAGCTCTCACCTTACCACAACGCTTAGTCATCATTGGAATGTGTTACACGTTTTCTTGTACAGCTCCAACTCCTTCATCTGCTGCTTTCTATTATTACTTTGTAAACGTACCCTGAGGCTAAGCAATAGAAGTATACAGGAAGGTAATTAATAATTTAAACTGCTCCTCACTGAGACCACCTTTTTTAGTCATTCTACCTTTCTGAGCTTGTTGCGTTTTATTTACTTTTTCTTTTAAACCGCAATGGTTTTGGTAACCATATTTGGCAGTTTTGAAAGATTTATCTTTTTAAATGTCAAAAGTTTAATAAAGCTTCACTCACAATGCTTCCTAATGAAGCTGTCGGGTTCTGTAAAAACCTTCCCCCTAAATAGAAGACTGCTCTGAAAACAAAAAGCATGAATAAATTCTCTGGGTTGAAAGAATAGGGAAATGATAAGAAGTTCAGGTTTCTTAACCTCTAGCTTAAACCTACAGCCTTTCCCGAGGCACACCGGTCCTGCTAAGCCCGGGGAAAAATTCCAGGCTAAGGAATTTGCTTACCCCTCTCTCACATGGGGTCAATTCAAAAGGTTTCTCTTCCTTCTTAGTGTCAGGAATTCCTCTTCTTCCCCCAGGTGGCCAAGACTCTAGGGATGTGCTCCTCCATTTATGAGGCGGGGAAGAGGTGTCTCTTACCCTCAAGTTATGGGAGACAGGCGAGGTTTGTCCATCAATGAGCAAACCTTCGGGGGAAATCCCTCTTCCCCTCCGCTTGCTGGACAAATCCCAGCTCTCAGCCTCTCAAAAGAACGACGCCGAGAGGGAAGACCGGAGTTTCTCCCCAAGGCCTCCAGCCTCTGCCAGCCACACCCCTGGCCTCTGGCCCTCCTCAACCCACAACTTGGAAATACATCTCCCCTACCCCGACCCTGCCCCCGGCTACTTGCCGCCAGACCCGAGGATTCCCTCACCCGACCACAGCCACTCCTGTGGTCACCCTTTCTCCAACCCTTTACCTCACAACGGTCACACCCGACGGCTCCCTCTATCCCCAACGGTCACGCTCTTCGGGTTTCCCCTCCTCTGCCGGTCTCGGACCCAGCCTGAGCTTCCCTTCCTTCCCTCCCTCCAATCAATTAGGGACACACCCCAAAGTCAGCCCCCCTAGAACTCACCGGAGGCAAGGGCGAGAGTGGCGGCAGCAGCTGGAAAGCACAGCCCAGGTGGTGTTGTAATGGTTTCCTACCCGTCACGATTCTTTCTCCAGGTCTAAGCCACTGCGCAAAACCCACTTTGCCAGGGACAAAGATGGTGGGCGGAAAACTTTGACGTCAGAAAACCTCGCCAGGCGACATCATCTAAGCGCGCGGGGGACCCAGAAAAGAGGCGATCTCTGTCGCCTGGGGGACGGAAAGATTTCACTGGCCCCTGGAAGGCCTGAAGACCGGGGCCTCAAGGGATGTTCACTGGTTATCCCCAGGGACATATTAAACAAGCTGACACGGATTTGTTTCCTCGCACAAGAATTCTCTGGAAAACTTAGGGCGAAATGTCCTGTTCCTTAAACAACAGCAACAAAA